CCTCTCACTGATAAGGAGGTCAAATCACGAGTCGTATTCCGCTTAGGGCACAGGCCATTTGATCCACCTGATCTACTTGATCCACTTCACTAGGTCAAACCAGCGAACTGAACACTAGCGAAGTGGATGAAATGGATCAAGTGAATCAAGCGGACCAGATAGATCAACTATGTGTGCCTAAATGTGCGCGCTCTCCGCGAAGTTTGGGCCGATTGAAGTGCCAATGCGACCAACATGCGACGAATGCAATCAACACTTCCTAACAAATGCAGTCATGCTTAGCCCGTCACCGAGGCACTTTGGAACGGGTTCACACAAACATCGCCTGCGCAGTCAGTCAAGTCCTGGTCAGTTAAGCCAACGCTGTCCGAAACAGCGCGCCGCGACGCAGCCGCTGGAGCAAAACCGGTTATTCTACAGCGAAAAACTTGCTTAGGGCATCAAGCCCACTTCAAATTTTCTCGGAAGCCTTTCACAGGAGATGCCATTTCTGTTCTCTATTTCCGGCGAAGTGGAACAACTACGTTGCCAAGTGCATTGTCATAAAACTTTCATTTTTAGGTGCCATTCGAATATGGAAAGCTGTTAGCTATTTGGTCTCATCCTGGATGAATACCATTGCTTCGCCTTGTTATAAAATATTTGCGTGCTGTGATGCCGTCGTTCAGTATCTTCGTCATAGTATTTTTGATACTGGGCCATTGTTATGCTGAGCTGAACAAAACGGAACTGAAGTGAGTTTTTTCCCAGCATAGCTTTTTGTAAGTGGCTTTAACTTAAAATCGTCTACTTTTCTGGATTTGTTTACCAGATTTCATTGTGGAAGTTCTCTTGATTTTTGGGACGAAGTGCTTTTACAAATTTGCCTCTTCTGCATAGGAGACACGGAAAATACTTGGAACTCGAAGGATGAACAAAATCTTTTTGCTAAGTTTGGAGACATCGCGTAACTTACAATCAAAATTGCTAACGTAGTACAAACGTATCACAATCAACTCCAGCAAAATGGTAACCCTATTATAATACAAATTGCAGAGGCAGTCCATTTGTATAAGCACTGTAAATCACATAGAAGCGCTGCTGTAGTGTTGATATACATCGAGTAGTTGACGGTTTAGAAGCATTGCTTCATGTTTTCTGAGCTCAAAAGCCGGGCATACATTAGCGATTCGATCGCCTCGCGATTTTCTCAACAAGACAACTGTTGCGAGTCCATTGCATGCGCTCACCTTGCATTTTGGTTCTGATAATTAGTAAGTAATCAGCCCTATTGAGGAACTATCACTACCGAAATACAAAATGATCGGCATGCATTGGACTGGTAGAAGTATACTTAGCTAAACCAGAACTATGGTTCTGGCTGGAAAAATCGCGAGGCAATGAAGTTGCGTAATGTATGCCCGGTCTTTTAATCTTGGTTAGCTGGTTGATTTGTTTATCTATACAGCCATGTGAATTCTTTAAACATTTTTCAATAAATTCTAGATGTGCAACATGTATCTTGAACAAGTTTTCACAAAATAGTCAGGCTTCATGTTGTTTTAGAGAGCGGGCTTATGAAATGTTTATGCATGGCTACCACTCATACATGACATATGCGTTCCCAGCTGATGAACTTATGCCTCTTTCGTGTCGTGGTCGTGTACGAGGAGTTACTCCAAGTCGCGGCGATGTCGACGACTGTCTTGGAAAGTAGGTTACTGAACCTTCCACGGTTACCTATCCTGGCTTGCTTAGTTTATAATTTACCTTATGGTCCTCTGTAAAATCTTTTCATCTTTTTAATACCAAATTG